TATATACTTTAACGTGTGAAACTTATTTGTAACTGCATCAGAGACTTATGTTTATGGTCACTGAATGTCGGACTCCCTAGTAAAGAAGCAGCCAATTTGATTCTCAATCCAGTTTAGTTGTTTATCTATTTCTCTAACCCAGTGGATGAGTATAACATTCTCCCAGTCACTCTATCCCAGTGAATATTGTTATCCTGTCACTCTAACACAATGAATAAGTGTATTATTCTCCTGATACTCTTACCCAGCGGATAAGTATAATATTATTTTCCCGTCACTATAACCTAATGGATAAGTATGTTCTCCTGTCAATCTAACCCATTGAATGAGTATAGTATTCTACTGCCACTCCAACCCAGTTGATAAGTGTAATATTCTCCTGTTACTCTATCCCAGGGGATACTTGTTTACTTGTTGTTTACTTGTGTGAAGGACCGACATCACTGCACAATGGGCATTCCCATAAGCGCTCCGTCCCCTGAATAAGCACATCTCGAAATGTGTAGATGCTGACAGTTCCAAGCAATGGTTGATTCCTTAGCCTTCTGCTCCTCCCACTCAGTCTTCAACTTCTGCAGGCGCCCCATCCAATTTCAAGCTCATGGGGTTGCTCAAGATAATGGTATTCCGTCTCTTCTTGTTCTTTTTCTCTTTTTTCCTTAACTGACCGTACAATTTCATGTTTGTCAGGGCACAGCTTCCCTTCTGGTTTTGCTTTCCCAGCGAGCTAATCAGCCCGCTCATTGCCCTTGACCAAGCGGATAAGTATAATATTCTCCTGTTACTCTAACCTGGAGGATAGTGTGATATTTTATTATAGTATCCCCCTTTAACTGTAAAGCGAGAGTGGATCTGACAATAAAAACGCAATATTATACGAGAAAAGAAGAAAATGCAACCCTTGGTATACTTAGCTGGTTTATAATTATAGCAACAGTAGTTATAAACCTAAACCACAACCTACGTAATTATCTCTGACATAGTTTCAGCAACAATCACCTTCACTGGCGTTTGTGTTATAACTGTAGTTGCCTCGATGTAGCACCTTGATAGCCAGAGTTCGATTCCCATGCGGAGAGATCTTTTTTATCAAGTATCTCGGTCTTCTTATTCCCCCGGGACGTTGTATTTGTATCCCTTTCAGCCTGGTTTGAACCCGACAAGTAGGGTCCAAGCCTCCTCTTAAATGGTTTGACTTGTGTCAATTACCTAAAAACATCAAACATTAAAAAAACCTCAAAGTAAAACAACACCCTGGGCTGCAAATCAAGCCTACTAATACATTAGATTGTATTTTAGACAAGTGTTGCAACTGGGCTCTTTATTCTGTTCAGTACCACAGGTGTTTACGGCTTTTCTCTATCTTTTTCACCCTTTCTCTCTCTTTCCCTTTTACCTATTCCCTTTCTCTATTTTTCTCTGTCACTCTCTCATTGTGATTCTTTATACCCTATTCGCCCCCCCCCCCTTATCTCCCAGTCTCTCACTGTGTGTGTGTCTCTCTCTATCAGTG